GTTTTTTGTAACAAATGTTTCGTGTCGTGCATATCTTGTATACTGCTACTGGATGCCTTGAATTTCCCTCGGGATTAATAAAGTATCTATCTATCTAGATTGTGGCTGCTTTGATGGTTGAAACTGCACTCACACTGTCGTCCTATGGGTGGGCTGTCGGTGTGTTTGCCTTCTGTATTGTAATTGGGCATGTGTTATACTGTTGGGTCACCATCATGCAGACTTAATGAGTGAGAATGATGGATGGATTAAAAACAAAAGATGGATCAAGTCCAATTATAAAATAAACAGGCCTATTTTACTGATGTGCTTTATCTCTTATGTTGCAAATTAGAATATGGATCAATGAGCACAAAAAAGCAGACAAAAGATGATCAGTCAATGATAGGCAAAATCTGATGATTCAGGTTTGACTATTTAAATCCTTAGTTAGTGTCACCCTTGGTATTACTTCAAATATTTCTTCATTTGAATTCATACCCTTCTCCAGACAATTATAGTGTATTTCTTTTGGAAACACTCAGTAATGTGAACTGCTGCTTAATTTTATTCTCTTAATGCTGTTATTCAAACCCAATGAATTGCAGTTTAAAAAAAGGACAAACCAATTGAGAAAAAACAATCCTTGAGTATGACTTCATGATTTAACTGTGATTCTGCAACACACACTAGTTATAGCTTGGTGACTAAAACTCACAAGTAAGCAGGAGAAACAGCAGCAAAACACGAGCAGAGGCCAGAGGCATGGCGGGGGAACAGGGAAGTGATGGACCAGGACAGGAGCCTCCACACTGCGGCCCACTCAGCACAAGCTCAGCTGCCTGGGCCAGTGGGAATTTGACTCAGTTCAGCAGTCACAGGAACATAGCAAGGGCAGCTGTTTCCCTGAAGTGTGAGTGAGAGAACTGCTGGTATTGAGAAGAAACAGAGTTCCTGGCTCCTGTCCAGTTTTGTCATCTCATTTTCACTTAGAGCAAAAACATTAGCATTAATGAATGAAGTCTTAGCAGCAGAGTTCACTGCCTCCTGAGGTGCTTGGAGATAAGGCCTTGTTTATATTTAGGGGTGGAGCAACAATTTCAAAAGTGTGAACATTCAAAGGCTAGTACCCCCCAACCCTCCTTCCCCAATACAAGATACCCCAGAGGTCAAAATAGGATGACAACAAACCATAAAACTAATTTCATTTGAATGCCCATCTATCCACCTGCATCCTGTCTCATTAACCCCCCTTTAACCTATATGACTCACTGTAGGTAGAGAGCATTCAGACTTTAACTACTTGTCTAGTTCTGTGCACATTTGTGCAGCTACATAACATCAGCTACAGTTCGCATTCAGTTAGTTTGTCACCAGGGTTGCACTTGAAATGGTAAAGGAAGCAACTTAGCCTAATACTGCAAACATCCTGTTTCATTTTATGTCCAATAACTATGTTAGCTGACACATCATACAACAAGTTCTCGACTAACTTTAAGAACATCCATTGGGAGTTTAACAGTAAGTTTAAACTCTAAAAATGGCTCTTTCCGATGCTTATTATTTTGCCTATCTTATTGCTTTAGGCCAAGCTCTCTTTATTTCTGTTTTTTTATATACAATGTGCTTTTACTTTGAAAGAACACAAAACAGGACTTCCGCTGGATTGTAAAGTTACAAAAGTGAACAAAAACAACCAAAAGAACGACCAAGAGGTAAAAATGTGTGATGTCTTAAACATTTACGACACATTTTGGGATGTGGAACAAATCTGAAAAACATCAGTTTAAGTGACTAACTGTCTTTCAGAGGGTTTGCTACATCCATTTGTTGCCTCTGTGGTCAAACCTTGCCAGTGATGAGAGACAGGAATCAATCTGAATTTACGTTACTTTACAGTGCTTCTCTGGCCTGGTGGGATGGTCAAAGGGTTAGGATTGGCCATCCTATAAATCTGATTTGACCAATTGGTTTTCATCAATGACTCTCTGAGTGAAAAGTGTCAGGGACAAAGTTTGAGTGTGAGGGTGGGTGTTGCAACACTCACAACACCCATGGGTGGGATGCGCCTGTTTATATTGCTTTGGAGCTTGACAGTCCTTTAAACAGCTTTTATCTTACTTTCTCCACTGTTTCAGCACTGTGGACACCCCTTAGTAACAGAACACATCCCTGTGAATAGTTAAGACCTTTATGGCACTGCACCTTATTTTGAAAATGTTTAATGTTCTCTTTCAAAGGTTAGTCAGATTTTGTGCATGTAAAAATTAAGGTGTATTTGTATCCTCTGTAGGAAGGAATTAGGATCACATTTTACAGCTTGCATGGTTTTAATTTTAGGGCATAAAGGAAATGTGTCCTATATGATGGCTTAAGCTGTGAGTTACTGTTGAGTTAACTGCATTATCATCTAAATTAGGTTGAAAAAAATAAACAAATGTGTCTTGAGGAGAACCAGGTTTGGATGATGTAAGCTTGTGTCAAATCAGTTAGAGGCTTTAATGACATCACATACTTTCAGACGATCTCCTGGCTCTGATAGATCTCCAGTCAAACTGACCTTGGAATCAAGAGACAGTGATGATGAAAAAAAATGTTTAGCCCGGCAACAACCTAAGGATGACGCAAACGCCGACTGAAAGTCTTCACAGTGGTGCTATAAGCAATGTCAATAGATTTTCTTCTCAGATATCATGGCTGCATCATGACACAGGCAATCAGTGGAAAAGGCTTAGATAACCTTGCTTTTGGAAGGACAAAAAAATCGGTGACATTTTAAAAATATTCTTATGCAATTTCTTGCAAAGAGTTACATGAAAGGATTTTATATACTGTCATGTCTATGTTTGTTAAATCCAGAATTACATCACCGGGGTGTTCAGCAAACTTCAGTTCATTCCCAACTTTAAAATCTCTCTTTAAGCTTTTTGATGAAGATATTCTATCTATTTGTCTGATTCAAACTCAAAATACTAAAATACTTCAGAAAGGGTTTAACATTTCATAAGGGAAGGACTATTTAATCCCTCTTGCTTCCATTGCGTCCATGCTTAATGCTAAAACCATCTCATCAAACAGACATGCTACATGTTGGGGCTTTGTTTGTCAGAAGCAACCGGGCATTGTAGGCTTCAGTACTGTATGCAAAAAAGTAGGGCTATGTTCTAGAAGGGAATCAATCAATCAATCAATGAAATGGTTTACTATGAGCACCTCAGGAATGATTCTGACTGATTGTACATGCATTGTAGTTCAGAAAAAATCATTTGGAATGACAGTCTAAATTTACCAGGAAACAATGCAGAGTGGCTTATATGAAATAAATCTTCTCTTGTTGGTAAGTACATGTTGTTCAGTTCCAGCTGAGGAGCTCCTCTACATTGCTCTCTTTAGGTAAGTAAGCTAGCACACATTGAAATGCTAGCAGGTGATCAAAAAGCATGCAGAAGATAAATTACATGTTACTTTACAATACAAGATGTATGTTTACTTTGGCAGAATCATATTTGATACTACAAACTAATAGATACCTATACCCCTTTGCTTGCGTGAGTGTATCCACCCCTCACCCAATGACTGCGATTGACACCAAACCTGAAAAAGGCTTTTGAAGCAGACAGTATTTTGTAAGATAAATGCTAAGAAGATTAAGAACTATCTCTCTAACTTTAAATGTAAGGTTCCTTTCTAGCTGAAGGAATGAGTGTAATCATTCAGATAACAATGAGCTAGCTACACATGTCTTGTTGAATCTTCAACAACCTCTCAAGTTTTTTTTTTTTGTTATTCTCATTTTATCTTTTCATCGCTGCCTCCTTACACTCCTGCATTTGTTTCAGTATTTTGTTTCACTTCATATGCGTCACACAGAATGCCAAACAGCGTCATCACAGTTTAATATAGAATCCCACTAATCCCACCCTCATGTCACTTTTGGCCTGCTTGGTCTTGTCCGTTGTACACTGATTCTTTATGATCTCAGAAGACCTTTTGAGTATTCTTGTAGAAGTGAGTCAGTCAGCCAGTTTCCCTGCTGCCGCCCAACCCCCCTGCCTTCTGCCGTCTGAGGTCTATTTTCATATAGTGGGAAAAAAAAAAGAAGACTGCAATGAATTAGCTGCATCTCTCTGTAGTTCATGTGGATACACAGTGTCTTTTGTGTCTAAAGCAAACACCAGCTGGTGTTTGTTACATTCTTTATTTAACTTTTTCAACATACGCATGTCTCTGTTTGCTTGTGTAATGCTTTGGAAATTAAAAGCTTAGTGGCTGAATACGAACTTCTCTGAAGAAGAAGTTTTTGTTCAGATAATAGAATGACATTATTCCAAATGGAAATCATATTGAATACACAAAAACAATATTACCTTAGGACAAAATTTACTTTTAACTGAAAAGTAGCAAAACCAATTTGCAGCTAAGCTTCATGTGAAGTGCCGAAAGCACCTTAAGAGCCACAACACCTGCATGTCACAATGTTTTATTGTAATGTCTATGTTCCAATCAAAAACAAAGTGTATCTAACCAAGCAGCTAGTTTTTCAGTAAGAGGTACAGTGTATACTAACCACATCATTTCCAACAGCTAGCTTAACCCACAGCTTTCCAGATGTTCTCAAAGTCTGTGCAAACCCAGATCATTTCTTAATATTGATTGGCTAGCAGTTAACATTTACAAGACAGAACAGCTGGTAACATCCTCATAAGACAACTTTGTAGTAAGACACATTGTTTTTGAGAAGATTAACCCCTCGCCCCACCTCAAGCTCCTGCATAAAGCCTATCAGTAAACCCCTATATGGAACTGATAAGAGGGTGTGTGTCGCCTCAGAATGAGTTAAGAAACTTATCTGTGGGGACACTTGTTGATAAATGCTCTGACAAAAAGCTGCAAAACAGAGATGAAAGTGAAAACTTGCAGAACTGGAAACACAATTATTGGTCAAAGTAGTTTTCACGGGTTGTCTTAAAGTTACTTGTTCTTTACCATCATCCCCTTATTACCACCATTTTTTAAATTTAATGGAGGACAAAGGAACAGAAAAGGGTCTCCAAAAATCTCCATATAGAACACAGACTGTGGTTGTGCGTGAGTTTAAGCCGGCAGACAAAGCAGAAGTGCAGCGGATCTTTTCTGAAGGACTGATGGAGATGGTACCAGACACTGCCTTCAAAGGCTTAAGACATCACCCGGAGAGTATCCTACTCTACACTTCTATGACAAGTAAGAGTAATACACATATGGTATAGTTCAGTGTAAGTGATTACTTCTTTGGAAACAACCCAAGGTGGTAGAGCCACACTGATTTAAAGGGTTGATGATTTGGAAACTTGCTAGAGATCAGGAGATTGAATGTTCTTTATATCTTTTATCGTTCATTGACAGATAAAAAAAAACATGCTCTCTTTTGTTTGTTGTATTGTTTTCATGTGTTAACACTGTCCAAATGTATCAACTCTGTTCTGTAGCAGCAGAGAAATATACAGGAACAATATGTTTTCTCTACAGTAACACATCTGTCCATGCCTTTTCTCTGGCAGTTATTTGTTCTGTCATCACCATGTGTTGGTGGGTGATAGCACTCCTCCCTGCACTTTGTCTGTGTGGACGCTACTTTTACAGCAGACGTGTGATCCATGGTTACCTTGAGCGTGCCATTAGCAGAGACATGGGAGACATGGAAGGGTTCTACATGAAATCATCAGGTATACATTTCAGAATTCACACTGTACTTTTTACTTTCTACTTCAAACTTAAACTATAGTATCCCATCAAACATGAGCTCCTTACACTGCTGATGCATATGATAGAATTGGAGCACCCAACATATCATATGACCTTGATTCTTCATTTACTGCCTGACAGAGTCAGCATTGCATAAACATGACCTTCTTAACACAATGTTTCTGAATCCAATATAATCCTGCACAGCCAAAGACCCAGAATAGTTTAAACCAGATTCAAGACCAAAGTGTGAAAACACTACAGCAAGTTTAAAGCAGTGCAAGAGCATAGCCATTCATTACAGGGTGTATGTTTCCAGTAAGCCAAAACTTTCTGTATCACATCCTATGTCTTGATGAATGAATTATAAAATTAATGTTAGAAAACAAGACAAAAATCTAAATTTCATAATAACAGTGTATCCTCACTCTAATGATGATGATGAGGTTAAAGGATTTACATGTCATCCCAGTAAACACACGTTGTTTTGGTCACTTTTTCTGTCAAGATGTTGTTTCATAATGGATAGAGAAATAAGATAACACTTTAGATAAGGGTCCACAGATCATCATGAATACATACATTAATGAATTAAGCATGACTTAAGCATGAATTAATCATGAATTAATGCAAGTATTCATGATGATATACAGTATCGGTAGTGTATTAACATTATCTTTATACATTAATTAAAAGAGCAATCATAGATTGTAAATATTAATGTTTGAAGCCTGAGTGACGTCAGCCATCTGTTACTGCAGGAGGCTTTGGAGGCTCATTGGCAGCAGCAGCCATGCTGGAAATGCTGTCTCACAATATTTTTCAGTCAATCTAACAACAGGCTTGGAGGCGGAGCTGAGGCGGGTCTTAAGCCTCTTGAAGAATTGTTACATGTCGCCCACCTGTCAATCATGTCAGCTACGCGCCTAACTATGGATAACCCGTATTGTTCATAAAATCATAACGGAGCCCTTTAAAAACTATCACCCCCAGTACAGTGTGTGCCAGTGATGACAATAACTAATCAGACATATTTGTTTTTTTGTGCCAGGCTGTAAACATGTTAATTTATGCTGTAAAAACAGCTTTTTGCCTGTTGTGAGTCCTCCTCCCTAGAGTGCATGTGCACCCAGGTTCCCATGACACAGACATTGAAGCTTCAGTGTTTAGCCAGCTCTGCATGGGTCTTGAAACTTTTCTGCTTTCTAACCTCTCTCCATTTTCCAAATGTGTCCGGTCGTTCTCCTTAACACAAATACACAATATTACGGACTGAAATCAAAAGTTAGAAGGAGGACATACTGGCTGCTGCACTGTTGACAGAGAAACTTCAACATTGAATGTTTCCTTAATGTCTGATATGTAAGGTCATTTTATGATTAAATTCAGTGTACAGTATATCATACATATTGCTCCTGTGATGCTCTGATGTACATATTGCTCCTAAGATGTCTCAGTCATCACGAGTTAATAAGGGATGTTTATGATGTTCATGATATCTTCACAGGCAAGTGTTCAATTTAAGGGACAAGACAAAAAACTGACCAATCTGCTGGATTCCCAGTATTGGAGTCTCAAATAAAGCAGAGCAATGTCTTTAGGACTTTTAAATAACAAAGTCATTTTGGTGCAATTGTTTTCCTGAAAAACTCCTGATGAATGGAACACCTTAGTTAATGCATTAATTAATGGAGATACTGTTAATACATATGCATTATTCATATTTCATCAGAAATACATGCCAAACCAGTTAAAACAACTAATGTTATTGTTACAGAAGCCGTTACTGAGGCTTTCAGTTACTGTATTAAAGAGATTATGATAAACTGAGAGGCCATCTATCTTTTAATGCTCTGACCACTGTGGAAATACATGAATGAATATGTTTTGAACTGTATGACTTTCCCATTACAAGATTTCACAACCTTTCTTCATCATGCTCTTGCTGTGCTCTTGCCCCCCCACCTCAGACTCCCGTCTTTGGGTAGCAGTGCTGGAAGGCAAAGTGGTGGGTGTTGTAGCAGCAGTCAGCCAGCTGAAGTCAGGAGGTGCTGTCGAGTTGCAGCGGATGTCTGTTGACCGGAGGTTTCGATGGTGTGGAGTTGGGGTCGCACTTGGAAGAAAGGTCCTGGAGTTCGCTGTATCCCACAAGTACTCTACTGTTGTCCTGGGAACCACAGCGTACGCACACGCTGCCCACCAGCTCTATAAGCGCCTGGGCTTTCAATGTGTGGGCATCACCAATGGGTATGTCACACCTGGTGCGAGACTGTCCTTAGTGGAAAGGATTTTCTACAGGGTCCGTCATTATCACTATAGCATGGATGTGCAAAATATCAGTTCAGCAGAGTAGTCCTTAAAACACCTAGAGCAGCCTTTCCCAAACTTAAGACTGCCGTGGCCCGCTTTGAAATACAAAATTAGTCCAGGGCCCGTTATAAGAAAATGTTTTATGACTACATGTATAACTTTCAGTTAGGGTAAATTATTGGACATGACAACATGATATTATGGCAAGATAGACACAAAAGTTTACTAAACAGTAAGTCCATGAATAGTCATGACACGCCTTACTAATCACTGAAAGGGTTGACTCATGGTAAATCATCATTATTGTGATATTTCTTTTATTTTTATACTTGGGCTTTTCGCAGCCCACCTGCAGTACCCACACGGCCCACCAGGGCCCACACGGCCCACACTTTGGGAAGCACTGATGTAGAGGATATAGACTTGCATTAATGGGCCAAAGGCATCCAGTATTTTATGTGTGTGATAAGAAGCACTATAAGAACCTTTTCAAGTTTGATGATCTATTTGTATTTGCTTTTGTTTATGTTTAATACTCATCTCTCTTGATCTGTCTTGATCTCATTGAGACTAAATAAAGATTAGAATTCAATCAATGAAGTTTCAATATTACCAAGCAACAGATTCAAGGAAAAAAAAAAGGAATGCAGAAGAGCCTGAAATGTTCTGACCTAGCTTTAAAAATAATGGATCCTGCATGTAATCTGTGAAGTCAGATTGGAAAGGCCTTAGACCTGCATTCTTTTTCATTGCCAGCAGGAGGAGACTGCAAAAAATGAGTCAGATAGCATGTGTTTTCACAAGACATTGAGAGTAATTCTCAGTGGGTGTGTTAACACATTGAACAGTTTTCCATTGAGTGTTTGGTCTCAGTCTCTTGCTTCAAGTCTTTTCATTGTGATCACATTCCAACGTGAGGTTTTATGGTTGAGTCCACAAACCAGTTAGTGATAGTGCTTTACAGATATAAGGTCACTGAGATAATTGTATAAACCTCATCTTGGTGTTTTATACAATCTGTTTTGCTAGAGAATCATTTCATCATTCATAGTTTTCCTGTCACATCTCCAGGGTAGTAACGTTCCTTTTTTTATTAGTTATTCTCCTGTTTCATGTTTACTTTGATACTTGCCCTGTGTCTCTTTTCAGATCATTTGCTTCCTCCCCTCCCGCCCATGTCTCCCCTGTGTCTAGTTGTCTTCACTCCCCTCGAGTATTTAGTCTCTGTTTTCCCATCTTTCTGTGCCACTTCATCTTGTTCCTTTGTGACAGCGTTCAAGCATTCCTCAGCATCAGGCTGACATTTCCAGATCATTTAATTTAAATAAATTAAAGAATCGTATCCATATGTCAGCAACAATCCTTTGACTTCTATGAAAACTATTTTTGAAAGAACTGCTGCTAGTATGAGACAAAAAATGTTCAGTGCTGAACCCAACTCTCTAGCTGTTCTAACTTCTTCCTACTATTACTACTATTATAAAGTAAAGATGAATCACATGATTTTGAATTAAGTTGCACAAAAAATACTCAAAATGGAAACTAACCAGGAAAAAATATATAATAGAAAATGTACAAAAGTTGCAATTGAAGAGCTGTGCACTTGTGCATGTGAAAATTACTTCCATTAAACTCCTCACAGAATGCATGTAAACAGAAAATACTCCAGTTTGCGTTAATGTAAGGCATAAAGGCCATATTGTAGTTAATCATGGAAAAGATTGTAACCTTATATTTGGGTGTAATTATTGACCTTTTAATTAAGACCACATCGAATTTAACTGCAAGTTTATTTTTTCTGCCGACTGGCATATTTTGGGGCATTTAAAAAAACAACAACAAGAATGTGTCTAAACACCACATGGTACATGTGTCTTTCCACTACTTTAAAGTCTACACTGCTCCACCGATTAAAAGTCTGCTCAAATATTGTAGGCCAGCCACTCCAGAGACTTTCTGAATTAGCCTACAATACAAACATGTTAAGGCTGGCTAACAGCATTATCTCCATGCACACTCTAAACAGTGAATGTGAACTATTACCATCAAACCTGAGATACAGGGTTCTGCTCTTTTTTTTCTGCTCACGTACTCAGAGGAAAATCATGACATTTCAGCAGCGTTTGTAGTCAAGCCCCATTTCACCTTTTCAATGATGAAATAGAACCAAAATGATCAACCTTTATTTTTCTGACAGTATTTCAGAAGTGAAACTCTTATCCAAAACCTTTACCAGCATGATGCCTTGCTAATTCTGCAACAGATGCTGCTAGTTGTTGGCTTTTACTGTAGCTGTTCTAACTTCTTCCTACTATTACTACTATTATAAAGTAAAGATGAATCACATGATTTTGAATTAAGTTGCACAAAAAATACTCAAATGAAAACTGACCAGGAAAAAAGATAGACAGGTTAATTGTTAGAGGAAAAACTGAATTTTAAGAATAAAGCAACGTTTTTTGTAATGCAATTCACTTTTCTGATCAATGATACAATGCTTTTTTTATGATAACAGTACAAGTCAAAACAAAATAGATGTATCAACCTATTGCCCGTTTTGCAAAATCAGTAGGTATGTTCTAACTTTCCCCCGGTTTGCTGATATGAAAATTGCATGTTAAGCATTTTTTTTGTGTTGTGAAATCTCTTCTTCCTCTTATTCACTTAAATGTTTCCTGTGACTGTTGTGAAATCAACACATAGTCATTTTTACTCTTTGAAAAATCTCTAAACTACACTAATTATATCTGCTTCATTGCCCATTATCTTAAATGCATAGTCTTCTTACCCTCAAGAACTGGCTAGTTTTTTTCTTTACCTCAACAAGACATGAACAATTTGGTCTTATCTAGTGCAAGGGAATTTATGATGACCCCCCCCCCCCCAAAGGTACTCAAAGTAAATGACAGAACAAAGAAGATTGCACTTTCAGAGGTTGAAATGTATCTTGGAAGGCCAAGATTGTCCTAAGATTAATTGCAATTGAATCCTGCTTAATCTGATTTTAGTGCCTAATCCGGTTGCGAGGAAAGCTCTTGCTCCGCCTCCTGACCAATTATTCCATTGGCCACACATTGCCGATCCTCTAGCATAAGAACATTGCTTTTGCAGGGTGAAGTAACAGGGAGCCAATCATTAGCCTGTATTTTACTTTCTGACTGCTGAAAACACCATTTCTTTAAATATCTGAATATTTGACTGTATGGTCAACTCTACAACCAGAGGTAAGTCTACTTTGTTTATATTTTACATTCATGAGATATACACATTGAAGTGCTAAACAGAGAAGGTCACATTTAAGGCAGTTGTGAACAAGTAAAGTATATATTTCATTTATTTTATTGTATATATCTTTTACTAGTTATATTAAGGCATGCAGATGTGTATCATTTGGTAAAGTAACTATAAAAGTCTTCAGCATAGGATCTTTCTGGAGGGATGGTAGAAGAGAAGAATAAATAAGGGGGAAGTTATCAACATTGGATCCATTCTCTAGAAACATTACAGTTAAATGGTAAACTGTCAGGAACTAATGCTACTGTGTTTTTTTGTAAGACTCCAGCTCATGAAGGATGCAAAGATGGCGGTTAAGTACCAAGCCTCTACTGTGACAAACTTTGAATGTGACAACAGCAAAATTGACTACAAGCAACCTTTTTTGGATGGCAGCAAGCTTCGTAATTCAGGTAAAGTTCATTTGTTAATAATATTAATATTAATAATAATATGTGTAAATAAAGACATCTCATATGCTATCATGTATAATGCTTGGGTTCCAGAGGGTTTTGTGAGTTCAGCTGTGCTTCTCACTTTTAATAAAGACGAATTTCATCTCGGTACACCAGCTATAAGCTATAAGAAACAGCAGTGCTCCTGCTAACAACTTTAATGGAATACGATACAAATCTGAAACACAGTTAAAAATATGTTGCAAAAGTTGCAATTGAAGAGCTGTGCACTTGTGCATGTGAAAATTACTTCCATTAAACTCCTCACAGAATGCATGTAAACAGAAAATACTGTGTGCGTATAGTGTGCGTTAATGTAAGGCATAAAGGCCATATTGTAATTAATCATGGAAAAGATTGTAACCTTATATTTGGGTGTAATTATTGACCTTTTAATTAAGACCACATCGAATTTAACTGCATAAAGTTTATTTTTTCTGCCGACTGGCATATTTTGGGGCATTTAAAAATGTGTCTTTCCACTACTTTAAAGTCTACACTGCTCCACCGATTAAAAGTCTGCCCAAATATTGTAGGCCAGCCACTCCAGAGACTTTCTGAATTAGCCTACAATACAAACATGTTAAGGCTGACTAACAGCATTATCTCCATGCACACTCTAAACAGTGAATGTGAACTATTACCATCAAACCTGAGATACAGGGTTCTGAATTTTAACAAGGTCAGACCAAAGCAGTCTTTTGTACACCAGTCAAACCTAAATATGAATATAGAGGTGAATTCCAAATCCAAAGTATGTTGTAGTGATGTGTCGGTCATGAACGATTCGTTCAAAACGAACGAATCATCTGGGTGAACGAACTGAACTGAATCACTGACTGAAAAGAGTCGTTCATTTCTCAACTTCAGTTGCACTCTCCTCTCTCCCGTCTCGTGTCTCTCTCTCCAGACCGCAAGAGTCACTCAAAGCCCGCCCTCCCTCTCCTTTCATGTCAGTGATACATACTGACTGAACCAACAGGACGGAGTCGGTCGGGAGCTCTGTGTGTCGCTAAAGCCCGCCCCTACTTCTCCCTCTCATGTGTGTGTGTGTGTGTGTGTGTGTGTGTGTGTGTGTGTGTGTGACTGAGGCTGGTGACTCGCAGTCTCGCTCGTTCACGTTCACTGAACGAACTGAGAGGAAGCGAATGACTCGGAGGCGGAGCTCCCGTTCAGTTCGTTCACTGAACGAACTGAACAGGAGCTCCGACGTGAATCACTGAACGAACTGAGAGGAAGAGCGCAGCTCTCGTTCAGTGAACGAACTGAACGAGAGCTCCGACGTGAATCACTGAACGAACTGAGAGTCCGCCTCCGAGTCACTCTCTTCCTCTCAGTCAGTGAGTGATTTGTGTACTGAATGTACTGAACAGAACGGTCGGGGAAAATAAACGTGATTGTTTTAGCAGCTTTCAGTTTGCAAACTGTAGCTTTATCCAACTAAATTCTCAGCTCATTGGTTTATTATTCACCACCGGCTGTTCTCAGTAAGATCGCGAGCAGAACTAAACGTTCGGCCGTGTTTCAGCTTATTAAATTCTGATTCTCAGACAGAGCTGCAGAGAAGTACTGAACGATTCAGTGAACGAATCTTTTGAACGAATCACTTTACTGAACTGATTCTACTGATTCAGTACAATGAAAAGAACTGCTTTTCACATCACTAGTATGTTGAAGGCCTCTGATTATTTGTTTGCACATTTTACATCTTCACTTTATTTAATATGTTGCAAGTGCAGCTGCTTTCAACCTTTGTCTGACAAAGTTCCATCCATCCATCCATCCATCCACACATCCATCCAAACATCCATCCAAACATCCATCCAAACATCCATCCAAACATCCATCCACACATCCATCCAAACATCCATCCATCCACACATCCATCCAAACATCCATCCATCCATCCATCCAAACATCCATCCATCCATCCATCCAAACATCCATCCATCCATCCATCATCCATCCATCCATCCAAACATCCACACATCAATCCATCTACCCAAAAATCCATCCACACATCCATCCAGCCATCCATCCAAACATCCATCCATCCATCCAAACATCCATCCATCCATCCACACATCCATCCAGCAATCCATCCATCCATCCATCCATCCAGCCATCCATCCATCCATCCTTTCATCCATCCATCCATCCATCCATCCATCTATCAATCCTTCGTCCATCCATCCACACATCCATCCATCCATCCATCCATCCTTCCATCCATCCATCCACACATCCATCCATCCATCCATCCATCCAAACATCCATCCAGCCATCCATCCATCCATCCATCCATCCATCCATCCTTCCAAACATCCATCCTTCATCCATCCATCCATCCATCTATCAATCCTTAGTCCATCCATCCACACACACATTCATCCATCCATCCATCCATCCTACCATCCATCCATCCACACATGCATCCAAACATCCATCCATCCATCCATCCATCAAAACATCCATCCAAACATCCATCCATCCATCCAAACATCCATCCATCCATCCATCCAAACATCCATCCAAACATCCATCATCCATCCATCCATCCAAACATCCACACATCAATCCATCTACCCAAACATCCATCCACACATCCATCCAGTCATCCATCCAAACATCCATCCATCCTTCCAAACATCCATCCATCCATCCACACATCCATCCAGCCATCCAAACATCCATCCATCCATCCATCCAAACATCCATCCATCCATCCATCCATCCATCCATCCATCCATCCTTCCAAACATCCATCCTTCCATCCATCCATCCATCCATACATCCATCCATCCATCCATCCATCCATCTATCAATCCTTCATCCATCCATCCATCTATCAATCCTTCGTCCATCCATCCACACATCCATCCATCCATCCTTCCATCCATCCATCCATCCATCCATCCATCCATCCATCCATCCATCCAAACATCCATCCACACATCCATCCATCCATCCATCCATCCAAACATCCATCCATCCATCCATCCATCCATCCTTCCAAACATCCATCCTTCATCCATCCATCCATCCATCTATCAATCCTTAGTCCATCCATCCACACACACATCCATCCATCCATCCATCCATCAATCAATCCATTCACACATCCATCCAGCCATCCATCCATCCAGCCATCCAAACATCCATTCATCCATCCATCCAAACATCCATCCTTTCATCCATCCATCCATCCATCCATCCATCCATCCATCTATCAATCCTTCGTCCATCCATCCACACATCCATCCATCCATCCATCCATCCATCCTTCCATCCATCCATCCACATATCCATCCATCCATCCATCCATCCTTCCAAACATCCATCCACACATGCATCCATCCATCCATCCATTCACACATCCATCCAGCCACACACACATCCATCCATCCATCCATCCATCCTACCATCCATCCATCCATCCACACATGCATCCATCTACACATCCATCAGCTCAACCAGCTCATCTCGGGCCCAAGTAAAAAAATAAATAGACAGAGCCACATGTCCTTTAGTTGGTCAAAAGTAACACAAATAATGTGATTTATGTTGGTGAATTACATTGTTTCAGTATTGCAAATGAAGCACATAATACCCAGTTCCTCATCACACTTCCTGAATTTTAAGTTTTTGTTTCCACTCTTGGTGTCGTTCAGTTCATGCATTGAGAAACAACCCTATACGAGTTGCGACACTGTGCCTCGCCCTGCTGTGTGCTCTCCTGTTGGCTGGAATCATAGGTCAGAGTGTTCACTGTGAGTCACCCTGCTTTTTTTCTATCAGAAATGTGAAATGTTTTAAAGTTTCCTTGTGTTGTTGTAATATTGTTTATTTAATCCTTTTTTTTATCTTTGGCAGATCAAAAAGTAGAACAAGATCAACAGAACAAGCTAACAACCATGAGTAAAGCCAAAGAGGATCTACAGGACCAACTGAAGGTCGAGCAAAGACAGAAAAGGGATCTTGAGACCATTCGAAATGATTTGGAGATGACGAACAATTACTTCTTAAGAAGGAAAGACCAGCTGCAGACCAATAACAATTTACTGACTGAAGAAAAAAAACAACTTCAACTTAGTCAAAGTCAGTTACAGGCCAGTCATGATGGTTTTAAAAAAGAGGTGGAACAGCTAAAAGCCAGTATAGACCAGTTGCAGACTACCAAAAATGCCTTGTTTAAAGACAAAGACTTGTTACAAATGCAATTTGATCTCGTCCTCAAACGCAAAAATGAGCTACATGTGAGTTATGACTCGGTGACTAAAGAAAGGGACAATTTGCAGGATGTATTCCATAATGTAAGCAGAACAAAAGGTGAGCTTCGAACGAGCTACATGAAACTCATTGAAGAAGTAGAACATTTGCAAGAAAGACACAATTTCACTGCCTATGAAAAAGACGAGGCAGCGAGCAGTCACCAAAACCTGCTGGATGAAGTCCTCAAGCTGAAGGAAGAATGCGACACTCTTAAAATACAAGAAGATCTTTTGACACAAAAATTTGGGAAAGCGATGTCAAACTACACTGAGTTTGAATGTAATAATCAAACTAAAGAAAGAGAGAGATTGCAGAAAATGAATGAAGACCTGACCGAAGAAAGATCCCTGCTGCAAATTGGGGTGGACAGTCTGAACGCAACCCTTGACAGTAAGCAAAAAAAAATTTCAGGCACTGACTCACAGCACATTTCAAGCATGTTTCAAATGACTAAATGTTTCTATTGACCAGTTATTTATTGAACGTCTTTCTTTTTAAACAAATAGGACTGCACTTGCTTTACTCTAGATTGAGTACTCAGATAAACACTCAGAGGAAGAAGTTGTAAAGCCTCCCTACTATTCTGCTCTTTAGAACAAATATAAACCATTTGAAAGAAGACTTTCAACGTCATTGTAGGAAGAAAAGATCTGAAGTGAACTTAAACTTGATTTAGGATGATGTGAAAGAGTTATGTAAGTTAATGATCAGAACAGAAACAAACTAAGAACAGATACTGTAACTCTGATTTATCTGCAGTTACCATTATTATTATTATAATTAGGCACAGAGGATTAAGGATTAAGGATTAATCAAAATGTAGTCTTTACACATATTATAGATAGTTCTTATCACAGTTATATCAAGGGGTTTGGTAATTCTCCTCAATTTTCAGAAACGGCATGCAAAATGGGCTGGAGGAAATTTGAGTCCAGCTGCTTCTTCACTTCTGTTGTCAAGAAAACATGGACTCTAGCCAGAGAATACTGCCAAAACAAGGGAGCAGAACTGGCAATCATCACAAGCCAAGAAGAAATGGTTAGTTTTTATCTGTGCATTACCTTTATGTTTAAGTGTGCCACCACAATCATTATAACAAAAGCCCAATCACTGTGCTTTTTGTGGGCATATTTGTTGAGCTTCACACATTTGTATTTTCATTATAACGGGATTAACCATGAATTCTACCTCTGCAGTTTACATCACCTCATCAGAACTGCAACCATACTGTTTCATTTCACTTCTCCCCAACTAAGACAAGATGTAGTGTGAACTCAAGCTAAGACAGCCTCAGCATGTCGTAATGCAAAATAAACCTAAAAGAAACATGGATTATATGGATTTGTATCAGAGGTCGATTGCTCTTTTGAAAGCTCATACACATCAAAGCTTTGGGAACTTTGGGTACGAATCAAAGCAGGCAGCAACCAGAAAGTGTGATCTGCATTATGAATTATCCAAAGCCATTCCCCCAAACCCAGGAACATGCCTCTACACTACTTTTCTACTTTTGCAGAATGAGTATGCTGAAGAAAACATTGAGAGGAAGATCATTTGCACACCATCTTACCAAAACAAAACAGAACTCCATAGAAACAATGTCATTTCCCATTATGGGCATGTTTTTACTTGACTTACTAGTGCATACGTCATGTTTTCACAACATTTGATTTATTAATCCCATTTGAAACACAACTATTATGTCAAACACAAATCCAAACTAGAAAGGAAAAAAACATGCTGCATGAACACAGAATCCGGCACCTCAGTGTAATGTGATCGCTTTAGCATGCATTCATGTTTTGCTTTAAAGCATATCCCCTGCAAAACAATCTCAAAAAATGTTTCAAGTCTGTGACATGATTGTTCTTGCCCCCTCTTTTTATTGAGTCTCTTACTTGCTTGACCACAGCAGCTCGTCTACCAGGCTGACACGGACAAATGGCTCAAATGTCAGCATCCACTTCCCCATTTCCTTTATGTGACCTGTTAAGACTTCATGTGTAAAGAACCTCTTTAAATTTCATGTCTTTTTTTCTATTAGAGATTCGTCAATGGTTTGTATGGAAGTAACCAAGAACTTTGGATTGGCCTGACCGATCAAGGAGTTGAGGGGAAGTGGGAATGGGTGGATGGCACACCAATGACTACAACGTAATAAAACACTCTCATATCTTGTATTTGCCAAAAAACACAACAAATAAACAAGAATTCGACATTCTTGACATCCTGCACCAAAGAATATAGCTATGCATATTTTCATTTTGCTTGTATCGCATTGTCCTGCAGGTTCTGGGGTAATGGTCAGCCTAATAGCCATAGCGGGAGGAACCAGGACTGTGTTGAATTCTGGCACCAAGCATCAGGAAAGGGGAAATGGAATGATGAGAACTGTAAGATAGTACAATATTTTATCTGTGAAATTTAATGTTAACGTTAGGAGAAATCATGTGATCGTTTGCACAGAATGAAACACAACATTCATAGAGTGGTGTGCAATGAGTAATGTACTATTGAGTTAGCAGATGGCCTGTGTGGAGCTGGCGTTGATACAGATGGATGTAGGTTGTTTAGAGCAAACTGCTTGGTTAATAGGGGACTGAGAGTCCAATTGAAGTGTGTGATTACTGTATGAATTAATCATATTTCTACATAACTAATAAAGGATGACATTTGTTTGTGCTTTACCCACATGTGGAGGATGGAGTTTCCACATGTTTTAAAGTTTAATCACCAGAATAAAGGCAGGGTTGGTCATTTTCTCCAGATACACTTTTTAAGATTTAGGTTGAAATTGTCTTTAGGTCCTGACAGAAATTAATAACTCATGTGCTCTGAAAAAGGAATGAAGATAATCTGTCATCTGTAGCAGTTTTAAGCCTGTAAAGACCTCGACCAATGTCTGCCACGAGGTACCAATTTAATGAACCAATCATGCTTCCCTGTCTCCCTGCCTGTTCTCTACCCCTTGTGTTCACCAGCCCAAACACAAAGTGTGTCACCGATGACGGAGTTTAAACTTTGAGTTTGTCGTTGGCCTTTGTCAGTTGTAAAAGTTTAGTGTTTACTTACCACTCAATGAGACATGAGACGACGTAGTTTCTACACAATGCAAGCAATAAGCTGAAGTCCTTCTCTGGAGCAACGGCGCTCGTGCATGTAAGTGAGGGGGCGTGGCTTTTGAGTGAGCACAGAGGGGAGGGGGTGTAGACGAAGCACTGAGGGATTGCTACTTTCAAAATCATGCTAGTTTCCAAAAATGACCAACCCTGCCTTTAATGCTTATGCAAAGAGTACTTTTGATGGAGCAGCTTAAACTCAGCTAGCAAACATGGTCAAATATATCTTTTGAATGATTTCTTCACATGTTTTTCTTTTTAATGTCCCTGTAGTGTTTGGCTAGTGCTTCTTGTGAGATCAGAAAGGGTGAACACACACAATGTAATGTTCTTTCCGGCTCTTTTTAAAGTTTAAAACAAATCTGTATGGGTTGGATTTAAAGATGCGGGGACAGGAAAAGGTCTTTCTTATAACAGACGTTGTTGTGTTGCATTATGGGAAGTGTAGTATTTATGTTTTCGGATCTTGACTAATACTAGGGACCATAATAAGGAATGATTACTCAGCCTCTGAAGCTGAAACATTTTCAGTTGATTTTGTCATCAGTCTATTTTAAGTTCCAATCTTCTGGGAAGAACAATCAAAATCAAAGCGGTAGCCAACTCATTTACATAAACTGTTTAATTTCTGGTGACTTTCCTCTCTTGCTGTACATTATACTTAATCTTAAAAATGTAACTCCATTCTCTTCTTCATAAACACCATTACATTAGGTGTAGTCTATATGTTGAATTTTTCTGTTTTAATCATTCAGTTATAAGGACCTCAATGATACGTCAATCATTTGAAAACTATTTACCGTTACCAAATATGTTGGGATATTTTAATGATGATTCATCAAAACAATAAAAACATTTTGCTCACAATCTTAGGATCTGTTTGAAATGTCTTCTTTGCTGTAATTCCTTAAATCTCTCTAATCTTTCGTGCATCCTACATGTTTTCTTGGCTCCATCATACTTGAGCTCCAGCTGCCCAGCTCTGAGACAGGCGGCAGGCACGGGCTTTATGCAGAGAGAATGATTCCATTTTTAACCTCCTGCCTGTCTGACAACAGTTTGACACAAAGTTGTTGAAGTGGTGTCTATGACCAGGGAAGAAATCTTGGTAAAATACATTTGCAAAATGAAATGCACAAATACATTTACTATTTTGATTAATGTTGTTAAGCGTAACTATTGGACTCTAAGTGATATGGATCCTATTTTTGTGTTCATCTTCTCTGGAAACAGCAAAGCAGAATTCATTGTTTCATTGTTTGACAGAAATAGTGGGAACACACGCACGCACACACACACCCTCTGTCACCCTGCTTTGTGTAGATGTTTCTGTCTGTCTCAATCTTTCTGCCCCACCCACTCAAACAGGCAGGCGGTGAACTCCCACTTTGGCCAGACTGCTGTGTAGGAGCATCACTGACACTTCTTGTAAAATATAACTTACATGAATATATGTCAACATTTTACACACATTACACCTATTGTTAGACCATCTAACATGTTTTCCCCACCTACTGTACAAGAAATCAGAATTACCAGGTTTTGTTTCATCAAATATTATTCAAAATTAATTTTATAATTTTTTCCAAACACTAATATATGTCCCTAGTCTGTCTACAAACCCCCCAATGATGAGAAAAGTCCATCCTCTCTGACTTTTGCCAGCTCCTCTTTTCAGATAATGTATGCTCAAACTGGCCATTTGGAGATTTTGGTAACACTTTATATTAAGGTGCTTGTAATAAGCATTAATAACAGGTAATAGGTCACTTATAAGTCACTTATAAGACCTTATTAGATTCTTATTAACACAAATAAGACTATATAAGTGTTAATATAGGAATAATTAACACTTTAATTATGTCTTGTAAGACACTTATAGACTCTTATTAGAAATGTATTAACACTTTATATACCATCATAAACATCAATAAGATTCTTATTAACATTAATAAGACTTCTTGAGTGTTAATTAAACTATAAGTTAATTTATAATTGGCTTGTAAGACATTAATTAACACAAAGAAACTTGAAAGTGACAAGTACTACTTTAGGAAGAGCTAAAAAAATAAATAAAAATAAGTAGCGTTCCCAAACGTGTTGATGTTGGGTTGATTTGTCTGAAATGACAATGAAAATGTGGCTCAGATGATTCTTTGTGCTCTATTATGTTAGGCAGTGGTTCCCCCTCCTGGTAAGATGTCCTTGCAGCTCTTCCTTGCCTCTCCCTTTTACATGAAATCCCTCACTGGGAGGAGCTACAACATGAGTGAGGGAAGCCAGGAGACACGAGTGAATTGAGAAAGACCAGAGTTGTTTTGTTTTGTTTCTGTCTATCTCAGTTTCCTTTCATTGGAGCAACACACCTCTGAGCCATCTGGTTATTATTATAGGACTCCTTGCTGAAAACACACCTGTACAGGAGCTCATCCGTTTTAGTAGCATGTAGCCTTTTACCCAGACAGAAGTTGATCTATGTTATCTTTGTCTTAGACTTACTACCAATAAGTAAGGTTTTTAGTTTGTGTTCTGCATCAAGAGGGATCATAGTCTTAGGTTCTGCTTGCAAAGGATTGCTTTTTTTAATTAGTTACTAAAGATTTGCAACTTACCTCCTCCTGCGGTGTTTCTCTGGGTCTGCTTCTGCGGTCCTCCTCAACTTTTTCTCACACCTGTGGTAGAGATGATGGCTTCAATGAACTAGCAGAGGCTGGAGGTATAGAGGGAGGGGATGCAGCTCTCAAGAATATTTCTGCAAAAACTGTAAATCGTATTTCAAGTGTGTCTCAACAACTTATACTGATATTGCTTCATAAATATATCACACATTTTTTTTAGCATTGGTAAACATTTATTGGTTTTATTCAATGTCATTAACCACCATCAGGTTTAATAGGTATCATATGGCACAGACATTAAGAGTTATCCAAAAGCCAGACAGTTGATCAGCCATGTACGTTCCAGTCAGCGTGAACATCAGCAGCTCAGGATAAGTCTAGCTGCATTGTTGTTGTCAGGAAATCTGTTCAGTGTTTTAATTAATTTAATGGATGTGGTTTAAGGAAAATAAATCGCACGCATCAGAATAACTCAGAACATTTTAGAGGAATGCATTTAGTTTAGTAACAAGAGCATAATGTATTTTAAGGCTTTATTTATTGCAATGCTATCGAAAATAAAGTTTCAAGCCCAGTATCTATTTTGCTGTATCAGCACATTTTTAAATGATGAAAATAGCATGTTCAGCATTTCTGTGTATTGTGAAATCAGTTCTTCCTTATATATTTTCATGGGTTCCCTTTTAAGAAATTGGCAAATAGTTTTCAAATATCTGATTACACAGAATATTTCTGCTTTATTTCCCTTGAGTTTAAATAATGGTCTTCATACCCTCATCACCTAAGAATACAGGGTTTTAAGTTTTATTCAAGTGCAAAACATGAGTTTAGCTTTTCTTGTATGATTTTACAAGAAAATAAGTGAGTTTAGGCAACAATACTACAAATATTGTTTGGCAATGAAAACCCAATAATCAATTGACGGGGTTGAAATCAGTTGACCCAGGTAATGTGGAGTTGATTACAACATATCCCTCCTCAAACAAATATTACTGACAAAATCAGTTTCAAGGGAGGCTCTCTCCCTCGCTCCGCCTGCTGACCACTCCTTAGTTCCTTTCCCCCCTGCAGAAGTATGTAACGTACATTCACAAGGATTTAAAGTAAGTGTAGCTTATAGTACAGTAGTAGTGCACTTCAAGTGGAAATAAAATGGATTTTACCTCCTGAGACAGCTTCAATCTCAGTTCCTTCACATTTCAAACCGTTTGACTGTGCTGTCATCTCTTCAAGCAGAGGTATTTTATTCTCTTTAATCATAAATTCATGCATTCAAGAACTGTAAAACAAAAGATCCTCTTTTAAAGGGTGAAGATAGCTTTGGGAAGTCATTGGAAAGGGATTGATTAACTAATATCATTACGGAAACTCTCTGCCGCTGTGTGAGAAGCTAATGATACTTTTTTTTTCAAAGCTCATGGAGGATGCTGACCACCACGCCTCTTCAGTGGCAAACTTGGTCAGTGACAACAGTGATAATGGCTACACAAAACTTATTGGAGATGGCAGAAAGCTTCAGTATTCAGGTAATAAAATGTAAATGTCATTCCAAAATAAAAGGTTTGCTTGTTGTAACATGATAAAACAATCATTTGGGAACTATCTGCTACCCTTAGATCCAAAGTGCTAAAGATCCAATGCAGTTTAACTGCCCTTATCAGAAGACTTCAGAATGAAAAAAAAAACATAACACCAGTGTGTAATATCTCAGGCAGTAATCTATTGGCAGTAATGGGGTATTACATTCAAATAATGCCTCATTCATAGAAGTATTTTACAATAAAACAAGTTATTTTTTTGATTCCTAAGAATGAGCCCTGAAACCTACAGAGGAAGCATGTTCTACAGAAGCCTGGAATGGACAAACAAAACACTGACACTGAAGAGAGCTTTTCGCTTTCAGCATATTTTTAGGGAGAGTTTTTGAGTGACGATCCGCCGCCAGCACCAAGGGGCCACGCGGCCTCGGGTGCGGGGATCTCAACCGGTAATGATCCTTCCGCAGGTTCACCTACTGGAAACCTTGTTACGACTTGATATTTCATCTTAAGAGTCAGATGTTTCCGTCATGAATTAGTGGATACCAAAACAAAGCTTGAAGAAGAATGAATATTGAGCTTGCATTCATCAGTTGAGAATTAGAAGGGAGAGCAGGTCATCGTGTCAAACTTTTTTACACTTTAATTTCTCTCGCTCAGAAAAT